ATGCTTTATGAAATCATCAAAGCTAAGTTATTCATTACACTATTAATTTCCTATATTATACAAAGACTCTTTCCACCTGCAGCAGTGCACCCTCCCCTGAACTTTCTATGCCCTCATGGACTATTCATCACGTCAAGGAAAGTTCTGCCTCGGAACAATAAGTCTCGCGTGCAAGACTTTGTTCTGACGCGGCCCGCTTGCAGGCTCACGCCTTCTCCCGGCAGAGCGTCCTCTTCTAGTTAACTTCTTTCCACTTTACCGCTACATTTCCCCCTTTTTTGTTTTGCTTCAGGTTTATGACATAAAAAATAGCATTGCGTTGATTGTTCACTGCTGCGGCTTTATGGGATCTTCTGCAGACTAAATATAAAACAAAGCAAAGTATTAATACTAGCAATAACAACCCTGAGGAGGTTTCCATTAATGCTTGAATATGTGGAATAGGATTCATATTCTGTATCTCATTTATAAGACCTTGTAAAACTTGCTGTCCGGTTACCTCCTCTAATCTCTTTTGAAATGTTGTGTAAATGTGATCTTGAAGATCAATAATTTCTTGTGTTAAATTGCCATGATTCAATAAGTGTTTCTTAACCTTATCCCAAGGAAACGCTGTCTCATTGTAAGGCACAGACCAGTATGGTTCCAATCACATTTTAATTGTAATCGCCTTTGCAGGCTTACAATTTGGTCCCCTAATAAAGCTACTGTTTGTTCAAGATTGGCTATTTGTTCATTAATTTCATTATCAATTTTCCGTTGAGAACTCCATAACTGTTCTGAATCTTTATGCCATTCCTGAACAAAAGTAGCAGTTTGGACTGATCACTGCAATGCCACCCCAGCTGTTGCTGCAGTTGCTGTTACAGCAATCAATCCTAGAATTATAGCAATTAGTATGCCAATAAACCTTTTTGACCTTTTTAATATTCCTTCCGCAATGGCTTGGAGAGCTCCAGCTAGAGAACTTTCCTGCCATCGTCGGTCCATCTGTACAGGTAATCATACTCCTGTTCTGGCTCGCAATAGATACAAACTTTCTCTATTGTGATTAAAAAGTTCAGAGTTATTTACACAGGTCACAAAGTACAATTAAAACAAGATATTTCTCCAGTAGTTTGATTCCATTGGACTGGACCCTTTTTCATCTGGTTTCAAAGGCCCACGATCTTTAAAAAGTCCAGGCATCTAATTAGAGTCATTAGTTACAGGGCCTTCCATGGGCAGTCACAAGGCATGCCCCTTCTTGGCATAGGCGTTTCATCTGTCTCCATGTTGGTGGAGAAGTGTTTCGGGTGCGAGGCAACTGTGTGCGAATTGTTTGTCCTCTCTGGATGGTTAGCTGTGAAAACCGGTCTTCTAGTCCTGCTTCATCACACTTCCTCTTGCTTGCCATGCCTTAGCTTGATTTTTTTTATCAGGAATCTAGAACTTCTTAGTTCCTGTGGAAACATAAGCATAGCCTCGACCCCACCTTAAAACGGTAGTCGGGCACCATTGATTAGTAGTGACATCTTGATACATAATAGGTTGTTCTACCGGGACCTCCTGTTTATGTCCCCAATGCATTTCGGCAGCTGACACTGCATCTGTATTCAAATTTAAAAAATTTAAAGTAAATAGAGCTCTTAATAATCTTCATCGGGGAGTCTGGCTTGATACCAGCTCTTCTCCCCCTTTTTGTTTTTGTAGCATTTCCTTAAGGGTTTGGTTCTGTTGTTCAATAATTGTTTGACCTGTATTGTTTCCAGGAATTCCTGTAATATGTTTAATATCAAATTGTTGAAAAAATTGTTGACACTTATCTGATAAATATGCTGAGCCATTGTTAGTTTTAATGGCTCGGGGCTTGCCCATTACAGCAAAGGCTTTAATGCTGGATTTGGAATTCCAGGTTGTAAAGGTTCTATAGGTTTAATAATCTCATTAATCCTTCTTAAATCAGTTAACATTCTCCATTTATCTGGTTTTTTCTTTATAACAAAGACAGGGGAATTCCATGGACTAGAGCTGGCTTCTATATGCCCTAGTTGTATTTATTCTTTGATAATAATTTGAAGCACTTCCAACTTTTCTCTTGTTAGGGGCCACTGTTTCACCCAAACCGGTTCAGTTGTTTTCCATTTTAAAGGCAGGGCGAAGCGCTTTGAAGTGGCTTCTTTTATAAATTTTGGTCCTGAACATTGGTGTCAGTGACGCCAGCACCAGCTTGACAAATCATTTGTCTATGACCTTTCTGTAAAGAAGGTATAGTAATTGTAGCCTTCCACTGTTGTAAAAGATCCCTTCCCCACAAAGATAGTGCAATGGAGGCAACATATGGCTGTATTTTGCCTTTTTGTTCTTCAGGCCCTTGACATTCAAGTACATTAGAGCTTTGTAAAATTTTAGTGAGGTTTACAACCTGTAAAAGTTGCATTCACCTTGTGCATCGGCCAAGATTGAGGCCAGTGCAAAGTAAAAACTATAGTTATATTAGCCCTATAATCCACTAGGTTGATAATTTTTATTCCCTCTGGGAATAAACTGTAAAAATTGAGGTCTTTGGCCTCCCAAGACTGTATGCTAAAAAACCTTTTTTCCTGTGCTACTAAATCTTCTAGTTTGTTTAACTGGTGCTGTATGCTCTATTTGTTTATAGTGAAGTAATAATAACTGTGCCATTTTTTCTCCAGCCTTTATATTTATAATACCAGAAGCAGACATCATAATTTATATTTCTCCTTCATAATTTGCATTAATAACTCCGGGAGCATGTTTAGCTTTCCCTTGTGGGACTTTTGCCTTCAGACAATTTTTTTTTTTTTCATATGTCCCACTTTCCCACATCCATAGCATTTAGCAGAATGGGAATTGCAGTTTTTAATGCATCAGCAAGAAGATTAGTATTATTATTAATTATTTATATAAGATTTTAATATTATTATTATTATTATTATATTAATATTATTTATATAACTTTAGAAAATGATTGGACTGGGATGCTAGCCTCCTTTATTTTTGACCAAACCTTTAAGCAACAAGTTCTAATTTGTGCAATAACAGCATTCTCTAACAGCACCTGTTGCTGTAAGCTACTATGTGTTCCAGTTCCTGTTAACTGGTCAAAATTACATCTAGGTGGGTTTTCTTGGGCGTTAATCATCGCCACTCTCCTGGCTTCTTCCCACCACCAGGATTTAAATTGCAGATATTGCCCTGGGGCTAATACTGCCTTAGCTATAGCATTCCAAGTATAAGGAATTAATTTATAATCTGTATAAATTAATTTTATATTAATATATAAAAATTAATAACATAATTATATATAATATTATAATTAATAATACATATAACTCTTGAGGGTATTGAGCATTAGCAGCTCTTCGTGTCCTCAGGAGGTGGGTGGAGGCTCAGCTGCTAACGCCAGATTAATGGCTAGTGCCACTTTACTTTCACTTTTCGGCGGCGGTGCAGCCAACTCCTGAGGGCTTTTATTCTCTTTTTTTTCCTTACTACTGTAAGTAATAATTCTTTTAAACTCCCTAAAAGTTCCTTCATCTCTGTTTCCCTTCTCGCCACTCTTATTTTCCTTAACTTAGGGTGAGGGCATCGATCCTCTTCCGAACCAGCAGAAGATGAATCATCCAGCTCTGAATCGCTGGCTGAGGTTATTCTTTCATAACCCCCTACTTCATTTTTAACCCTAGCTTTCTGTCTTTTACTTGACTCCCTCGGTTCAGTGACCTCTAACGGGAGCGGCTCGGGTGGTAGTGATTTCCCAGGAGGGAGAGGCTCAGGATTTAAACATTCAGCTCCTGGAGCAGCACTTTGTGACTTCATAGGAATTTCTTCACAATCTTCAGAATCAGACTGAAAAGGCTGTAAAGCTAACGTTACTAAATGAAAAACATCCCATACATCAGCCTCTATAGCATTTCCCTGTTGGTGAGCCCTTCTTAATGACCTTCCAATTTGTTTCCACAACTTAAGATTTAACTGCTGTTTTCCTTCTGGGTTAAACCAACAACAGTGCTGCTGAATTGCCTCAAACAATTTTTTAAAAGCCTCATTCTTCACTTTTACCCCTGAACTCTTTAACAATGATCTCAAGACAGCTATATATTGACTCTGCATCGACGGGCTAGTCCCCATGCTCTGCTTCTATTGCCGAAAGTTCCGCGTACTCGGCGCTGGCATCTCCCTTTCGGTCCCACGCCCCTTAGACTCACTCCTGGTCCCTGTTCGGGCGCCAGATATTGATGTTCTTGGTGAACGGAGGCGCAGAGATGAGTCGGACGACAGGATACGGAGAAGCAGAGGGCTACCGCTCGCTCAGGCGAATAGCCAAGATCCTCTGATCCCTCATGGCTTTTATTGGGGGTGAGCACAGCAAATAACAATGGAGTACAGCAAGTGACAATGATTAACAATGGGGTACAGCAAGTAACAATGATTAACAAACATGCTTTATGAAATCATCAAAGCTAAGTTATTCATTACACTATTAATTTCCTATATTATACAAAGACTCTTTCCACCTGCAGCAGTGCACCCTCCCCTGAACTTTCTATGCCCTCATGGACTATTCATCACGTCAAGGAAAGTTCTGCCTCGGAACAATAAGTCTCGCGTGCAAGACTTTGTTCTGACGCGGCCCGCTTGCAGGCTCACGCCTTCTCCCGGCAGAGCGTCCTCTTCTAGTTAACTTCTTTCCACTTTACCGCTACAGCGGGTAAGTGGGTTCATTCCTTCCACCCTTCAGGAAAGAAGTCTGCTCATTCATTTACTCAACAAACACACCTTGTCCCAGGCATAGGAGACAACAGAAAACAAGACAAAATTTTCACAGAACATAAAGCCACCAAATTTCAAAACTGTCTCAAAAAAATGTATTTTTAAGAAATAGTTCTCAGGGTTTTCCATAGTTTTAGGTCCTTTCCCAAGGTCTCAGTTTTCTGTAGCTAAATAGCAGATTAGTTCCATTACGCGGTTTAATGATTAACTTTAACTAGAGACCCTTTTCTCGGTAACTTAGAACATTTTTATTTAAGAATAATGTCTTCCCACAGAAAGGACAAGCAGTGCTGTGATCCTCCCTGAGCAGAGGCAAGGGAAGGCCTGCTAACCGTAAAGTCAGACAGACCTTCTGGGCCTTCAACTCAGGAGCAAGAGTCCTTCTCAGAAGAGGGGGTTGCCCTGCTTTTTCAAGTCTTGGACGTGCAGACCTCAGATGGGAAAGTCCGCTGCAGAAAAGGAGGGGGGTGAACTGTGCAGAAATAGGCTTCTTTTTCTGTGTTAAAAACACAGACTTTACTCTTTTTTTAAACTGGGCTGTCTTTATTGTTGAATTTAACAGTTCTTTCTATATCCTGGATACCAGACCTGAGCGGATCTCCCATTCTGTAGGTTGTCTGTTCACTTTCTTTATAGTGCTCTTTGAAGCACAAAGTTTTCAATTTTGATCAAGTCCAGTTTATTTACTTATTTATTCATTTAAAAAAACTTTTTTATCCTTACCCAACGAGTGCTGAAATTTTTTCACTGATTTTAGAGAGAATGGAAGGGTGGGGGGGAAAGAAGAGAGAGAGAAGTATCGATGTGACAGAGACACATCAATTGGTTGGCTCCTACACCAACTCCAACCGGGGGCAGGGATTGGACCTGCAACCCAGGTACCTGCACTTGACAGGGAATCGAACCCACAACCCTCCAGTTCGCAGGCCTGTGCTCTAACCACTGAGCAACGTTGGGCTTAGGTTGCTGTCCTTTCACTGTGCTCAGAAACCAGTCTAAACCAAGGTCATGAAGAGCTAACTTAAAAGCTTTGTACCTAACTTTACACCTCAGAGACGTCCACTGGGAGTTCTATGGCTTTCACTCTTCCATTGAAGTGTTCGATCCATTTGGATGATGCTTTGTGTGTGGTGTGAGGTAAGGGCCAGCTCCATTCTTTTGCATGTGGACGTCCAGCTGTGCCTGCAGTCTCTGGAAAGGTGACTCTCCCCAGTGGTGTCGTAGGCTGTTGTAAGTCAGCTGACTGCAAACGGATGCGCTGGCTCCTGCATCAGTCCCAGCCCACTGATGGGGTGACTGTCCTTATGCCAGCACCACGCAGCTTCTCTCATCAGTTATTAGTTTCTGCAGAAAGGGGAGCTAGGGTTTCGGTCGGGATTATAATGAACCTACAGATCATGGTGGGGAGTGTTGTCATCTTAAAAATATCAAGTCTTCTAATCCATGAACATGGGAAGTCTATTTAAGTTCTTCAATTCCTTTCAATGATGGTTATAAGTACAAAAGTCTTGCACTTTTTATATTTACTCCTCTTTCTTTTGATGCTGTTGTAAATGGAATTGCTTTCTTAATTTCACTTTGGATTTTAATTGCTAGAAATACAATTGAATTTTGTATGGTGATCCAGTGTCCTGCAACCTTGACAAACTCATTTATTAGTTTTTTCTCCCTAATGTATGTGTGGACACCTTAGGGTTTTCTACATACAAGTGCTATGATCTGCATGTGTCCCCTCAAAATTCCTATGTTGAGATCCTACCCCCCAATGTGACAACATTGAGATGTAAGGCCTTTGGGAGGTGCTTCGATCACGAGGAGGGAGTCCGTGGGAGCCGGAGAGCCCCACGTGAGGACACACAGTGAGACGGTGCCAGCTATGAGCCAGGGAGAGGAGCATTTATAAGAAAGTAACGATTTTAACAAACTTGTTCTATTTATCCAATTATATAAAAATGACTCTGTACTCTAACTATATAAGTAAGCTATTTACAAATCTTATATCTAAAGAAGAAAACACACCTCATTATTGAAGAACGTGTTTAAGACTAACTGTCCGCGCTCTCTTCGGTCCTCGTCGGGGGAGACTTCATATTCTGCCTGAGTGCAGAGACGACGGGAGAGAGTGTTAGCTGCGCTCCTCTCGGGCGTCAGGCGGCTGCAAACCTCTGGCTCTGGAACTGACTGGCAGCCACGCCCAGAGCAGCCCCCTGTGCCAGGGCCTCCTGAGCGCTGAGGGTTAATGACACAGCAGAGCAGCACATTCCACGATGCTCGGTCTTATACTTTCAGCCACGAACTGTGGCCAAACAAATAAGCAGCTCACAGAAGTGCCCAGCAGGCACCCTGGACACCCGAGTGCAGTTCCCAGGGACTCAGTCACCGGCCACAGGGGCCGGGGGAGACTGTCCCAGGGACTCAGTCACCCACCACAGGGGCCGGGGGAGACTGTCCCAGGGACTCCGTCACCCGCCACGGGGGCCGGGGGAGACTGTCCCAGGGAGTCCGTCACCCGCCACGGGGGCCGGGGGAGACTGTCCCAGGGAGTCCGTCACCCACCACAGGGGCCGGGGGAGACTGTCCCAGGGAGTCAGTCACCCGCACAGGGGCCGGGGGAGACTGTCCCAGGGAG